ACTAGTGTTGCAGAAGGAATTGGCAAGTGACACAAATGCAGAGATGAGCTGAATGGAAGTAAAATAATAAAAAGTTTATTTTGCCAGCAAAGGGTTAATCACATTCAAAAAGGCAGTGTCAGTGATCAACCTCCTACTGGGTTGCAGCTTCCTCTTTTATAGGTTTTACAGCTATGATTTAGGTGGTTACATTTCATTTCCTTGGTTCACATTACCCATGTACAAAGACTGCTCACTTTAACCCAGATGTAACAATTCCTTGTAGTTAGGGAGTTTACCTCAAGATTCATATAGCTATCTATTCTAGTGCACAGGAAGGGGTGTTCAAGGTTAGGGATGAGGCCAGATGTCCCACTTCATGGTTTTATGCCTCCGGTGTCTGTCTATTTTGAACTAAACAAAGCAGACTGCTGTTAAGAGACAGAAGAAGTCATTTTACATTTTCCTAACATTTTGTAGGTTTTTAGATTACTTACAAAAGTTCTCTGTATCACTAAGGGCTTCTCTAGCCAGCTTCTCCAAATCTTTCCAAACCTCTCCCATGAACCAGTTGCAAAAGTTTTTAAATAACCTAAGCAGGTACAGTCATAGTAACAACCCCACTTTTCTGGTATCAATTTTCTGGGCTAGTCAGCTTTCATATCACTGAACACAATAGCCAACACCCAAAATTTGAAGGAGGAAAGGTTTAATTTGGCTCATACTTTGGGAGATTCAGTCCGTGGTCATCTGGCTCCAAGGCAAAAACAGAAACATCATGGTGGAAGGGTGTGGTGAAGCAAAGATGTCACAGGCAAAGATGGCAACAGGGAAGCAGAGAAAGTGAAGAGAGTCAGAGAGGAAGGAGGAAGGGCCAGATATAGTACTATGGTACCCAAGGTTACTCTTCCATGACACACCTAGACTGACTCAGGAACATACTTTACTAATCTTCTAGGTCTTTCTTCATCTATTCAGTGGACATACTGATTAATGGTCATAGTAACTCTCTCTCTTTTTTTTTTTTGGCACTGGGGATCAAACTCGGGTCCTTGTACTTTCGAGGCAGGTGACGGAACCTCTGAGCTAAATCCCCAGCCCATAGTAACTCTCACTGTAGGTCTCTTTCACTTCTTTTGTTAAGTTTATTCCTAAATTTTTTTTTTCCTGTTTGTATTTGTGGTTATTATTATTGCTTTTGTTTTTAAAATTAATTTTATTGATATACTTAAGGTATATAATGACATTCATTGTGGGAAATTTGTACTTTTACATAATCAATCTCGGTTCTTATTTTTTCCCCATCCCCCTGCTTCCCTCTCTATCCTCAAAGACTTTGTTTCCATTATTTTTCCTATTCCCATATTATATTTATTGAGCTGCATGTGTTGAGCCAGCCTCATGACAAATCCAACTTGATTGTAGTGCATGCCCTTTTCTCTATGCTGTTGAACTCAATGCTAGTGTTTTGTTGAGAAGTTTTAAGTCTATGGTCATCAGGGATTTTGTTGTATAATTTTCTCTTTTTTTTGCCGTCTCTATCTGGTTTTGTCAACGGGGTAATGCTGGTCTCATAGCATGGATCTGGGAGGTTCCTCCCTTTCGGTTTTGTCAAATAATTTGAGAAGAACTGTCATACGTTCTTTAAAGTTCTGTAAAATTCAGCCATAAAAGCCCCCAGGGTCTCCTTCTCAAGGAGTTACCTGGTGCCAGTACCTAGGGTTCACTGGTGAGGATGTGAATTCCTTCTCCAATGGATTTTAGCTACTTAACTGAGGGCTGCGAGCCTGTGAGGACAGTGGAACCCCTCACACTGGGGAGGAGCCACAGGGCTCCCCTCTCTCTGCAGGCCATGGGTTAGGGTGCAGATACTGGGCATTTTATTTGTCCAAATCTCTTGATCACACAAGCTTCCAGGCTCTCTCTTGCTGATCTCCAGCATTCCCACAGTCAGTCACCTCACCACGTGGCTGTCTAGGGTGGCTTCAGTTCTTCTCCGTAAGAAGGTGGCCAGGCTGAGCACCTGTATTCAGCTATTTCTTCTGGCCTTTACTCTCATCATCTATGTGCTCAGTTTGTTCCCTGTTTTTATTTTACATACTCAGGGAACATATAAAATCAGTCAAAATATTTAAGAAAAACAGTTTTGCCGTGGTGAATTCCTGTTTATCACCTGCCTTCTGTCAAAAGCTAGTTTTCAGAAAGGTGAAATCCTAAGTCTTGTATAAATATAAAATACACATGTGGCAGGGATTTTAACTCATGAGTTAATGAGAGGGTGGGGAAAATGTAATACTTGTTCCAAGGCGAGTCTTGAGAGCAAATAGATTTCTACATAGACAAGAACACTGAACTGAATTTCCCCAGAGATATAAAACTGGGCAATATAATGCAATAAAGGGTAATGTTTGGAATAGCAATCTCTGCAGGACGGACATCAATTACACCTCTACCAAGCAAAGTTAATTTGCATTTCTGGAGATAAGCGTCTACTGCTAGTTCCTACATCTTTTAGAATTATAAAATAGACAAAGCTAGTCCCCTGGAGACTCTGTGTAGATTCAGCTCCATCTCCTAGAGATTCAGCTTTGTCAAAGGCTGACCACACTCCATGATCTTTTGACAGGGTAAGCAGATATTTGCTTTCTTTTGGAAGTCTTTTGCTATCACCTCGACATGCCATTTCCACTATAAGTGATATCCACTCGTTAGGAACCAAATTGCAGCTTCATGCAGAAAATTCAAACAGTTGACTTGAGATATGTCTTTGCTTCATTATGGATTATGCATATATTAAATTCCTATTCAGTGCACAGAGCTAGATATTCAGCATCACACACAGTTTGATTGTCTTTGTGGGTGTGAGCCAACAGGTCTCTGTTACAAAAATTTGTACTCACCCAGGTGGCCACAGCAAGGCCTCTCAGCCACATGCAGCTTTGCACACTTACCAGGTGATCTCTTGATTCAGGAGGACCCTGCGAAGGAACAGAACACCTGCCAGAGATTCCAGCCCTGGCACCATCCTGGAAGTGTTCAGAGCCACAAAGTGACGGGTGAGCGTGTGGCTTTGATAACGTGGCAAAGTCCAAGCAAAGCAGAAGCTAATTCCTGTGTTGTGACAGCAGCTCTGGGTGAGGCCCTCTGCCCCACTGCTTTGATCACTGGGGAGCTGGGAAGGTGCAGGACCAGGAGGGACACGCAGGCCTGCCCTTGCTGGGTCCTCCCAGAGGAAATGCCAACCAGGGAGAGTGCTCTTCCTCCCTCCTGTCCCCACCCTGTCTGCTTCCCACGTCTCCTGTCTTTGTCGCTTCTCCCTTTCCTCCTCCTCGACCAGTCTCCCTCTCTTTTCCTTTCTTTTATGTCCCACTTTGACTCTCCTTTCTTGCTCTCCTGCCCCTCCTCCAGCAGCTTTATCTTCTACCCTTACCAGCTCGAGGAGTCCTTCTCTTGGGCAGGACTGAAGCTACATTTTCTGCATAGAGGACATTGTCACCTACTCCTGATGTGTCTGTGTGAAGACAGAGAGGTGCAGCACATGGAAATGGTGCCATCTGAATAAACACTGAGCCACAGCAATGTCACCTGTGGCATTGTTAATCCGTCAGAGTCTAAACTCTAAAACCCTAATGAAGGTCTTATGTTTTCCTCCGAACTATACATTTTCTTTTTGTCCCCTGAAGGTATCTATAATTAATAATGTTCTTCCTATTAACCTTGAATTTGCAGGAATCAAACACTGCTGGGGCCCGGGCCTTGGTCTTAATGCTGCATCAGACCCTGTGCAGGAAGTCACAGCGTGAGCCCCAGCAGGAGGCAGAGGAACCAGCAGAGGGGCTTCCTGCGTGGAGAGGAGAGACCAGAAGTCTGCCTGGGAATGACCCTGAAGTTCAGGACTCAGAGGACAGGCGCCCAAGGGTGTAAATCTCAAGGCCTGAATGTCAGAGGAGGACATGGTTCACAGAGCAAAGCTGTGAGCAGGGGAAGGAGGAGGGAGATGGGGAGGTGGGGGGGAGAGGGAGGAGGGGAGGAGCCAGGTACAGTAGGAGAGGACAGCCTGTGTGGAAAGCAGTTGGTATCTGTCCTTAGCTAGCTGTTGAGAATGGGAACCCTGTCTGGGAAGGCTGCACTGGGGAGAGGCTGCCGAGGTGCTGGGAGAGAACACACTGGGGTGAGCTCAGAGTCTGGCTAGGAGACCTTGGTGTGGTTTTAACACAGTGACGCCAGCATCCCCCTTACACCAGCTTCCAGATGCGCTGCTGTTCAAGGCATGACCCCCACTTCATACGGCAAAGTGGAGTGAGTCTACACCTCCCGGTACTCAGCCCGTTAAGCTCAGTGCCCTCCAGGCCCCCTTCCTCCTACAGCCCGGCTGGCCTCAGGAGGGTGCACCTGGTCCAGCTGCAGAGATCTGGGCTCAGCAGGGCCCTGCTTGGGATTTAGTGCTCTGTTGTTGCCATCTTGAAAATTTCAATTTCCAAATGAGTGGCTCTTGGTCCTCATCTTTCACTGCACCCCACAAAGGATGGGGAGAGTCCTGTTTCTAGCAGTCTACAGGTGGAGCCTTCAGACAGTTCTTGAAGACTGAGGGCAAAAACGGTCTGAGAACCTCAGGAGCTTTTCCAAGATTCGCAATGGAAGGTCACCAGGCTCTCTAAAGACAGTGGAGAGAGGATCCCTCCTGAGGCCAGGGACAGATTCTTCCTGGTCCTCCACAGCTGCTGTGCTACAGAACATCTGAATTCAGCTTGGGGGAACAGGACAAGGGCATTCTTGACTTGCAGGGGCTTCAGGAAGAAGGTAGTTGGGGAAAGGTACAGCTGGCCATCAGCTCCAGACTACCATTCTGCTTAATCTCAGCTGTGTGGCTCTCAGAGTGTTTATTCTCTGCTTCCCAGTGGCCAGTGGACAAGTCTAAATCTCTCATTTCCTCTAGGGAGGCTGGGGAGAGGCATGGGACACAGATTTATTGCTGTCCCCTGCGGCTCCCTCCCTAGCCTCCGCCCACTCCTGCAGCCACACCGCCCTCCAGCTTCTTCCTGCAGCCACAGGCACAGGAAGGCAGTGGTTCATCTCTGCTCTGGGGCTGCAGAGCCGGTCAGGACCCACCCTCCTCTTGTCCTCCTCACCTCTGAGCTGTGTAGTCGGAATGAGACCTGCTGAGGCTCAGCTCACCTAGGAAACTGGCGAGATCTGCAGTGCGGGGTTAAATCCTGGAGCTGGAAAGCCACAGGAGAGCCAGGTAGGCTTTGCTTTGTCTCACTGCATGGGGATGAAGCAGCTCTGTCGTCCGTGCATGGGTCCACCCTGCACTTCCGTTTGGTGCCATCTTCTTAGCTTGTGGAGACTCACAGAATTGAAAGGCTGTGAGGGAAAAGAGCAAGGAGCTGACATCTGGTGTCTTGAATGTATGTGTCTTTGCACAGAGGACACTAACAGCACAGAGCTTAGAGCGCAAAGTTTAGGTCTTGTTTTCTTTGGAAGACAAATCTCTTCAAAAGTTGTATCCTTTGGCATCGGCATGAGGGAAACAAGTTTGCCAAGTGATTTTTCTTTGCAGAGATGCAAACTTTTTCATGACTCTTGTTTATTCCTTTCTGAGTTATTTAATGAATGACGTATTAAAGTTGACAGAGGACTCGCTGACAGAGAGAAAGGCAAGTGCTTCGAAGGTAGGCTACCTGTGGGTGATAAGTGGAAGAGAATGAGCACTTTGTGTGGTGAGATTCCATGTTATTTTCCAGAATTTTCTATAGAGGAATTGCACTTCCTGAGTTTTCCCAAGATTAAATTGGAGTAGTGACAGTGCACACTGAAGACGGCCAAGAAGGCAGATCCCACGGACTCGTACTCTGGTAGACATCACCTGCAGGGATGAGGTGATTTTTATCTGGCAGCTGTCCTTGTTGGTCACTGTTGGGTTCAAGATGAGGAGTGAAGTGGACCCAGAGAAGGGTCGAGACTTGTTCAACAGCACTGCAGATTTCTCTGGATTTATTTTGCCTCTTTCATATGTATTGTTTCATGTTTTTTTCCTTAGCCAACCTTTCCTCTAGGAGAATTTCATGCTAACCTCATAGAAATCAGTCCGTTTCTGACTATTGGTTAAGCATGCACTCTTCTCCCCTGACTTGTTTAGTTGAGGTGCTCATAATTTTTTGCTACTCACATATTTTACTTCAGGGCGGCCCCTGCACCCCATCCATGTCCTTTACAGGGTTCCTGGGAAACGCAGCTCCCCTTGTGTTCCTCTGTGTCTGTGACGCCTGCTGTTCACAGCTGTGCTACCAGCAAGCATGGGCAGGCGACGGTCGTAGTAGGTGTTCCTTGGGAACTGGTTAGAGGCCAAAACCCCATCCTTTGCCCCGACTAGTGCATCTGTACCTTATCCCAGTGCCTGGAGTCCCGTGCCCGATAAGTTCTGACTGAAGAAGGTGGACAGAGCTGCCCAGGTTGGCCCATGTCACCTGCGTGCCTCAGTGTCCATGCCTGCGCTGCTCCGCTACCCAGACATCCCTGTTCCCTTCTTCACCCCATTACCCATTACAGCCCAATCTGTCCCCTTGGTGCTTATCCAGCCCGACGGCCACTAAGTACCCTGAGGTCTAATGGCACCTGGCACAGGGCTGCCATGGAGCCCCCAGCACACCAAATGATGGTTGCTACCTCTATTCCCACCCTGGAACTGTCACTGGTCTTTGGTTGACAAATCCATAGCCCATCAAGATGCCCGGCGTTTAGCTTGTGCTCTATGTGAACTGAATTCACAAATGAATGAGTAAACAGATCAGTGCGTGAGTTGCATGAAGAATTTGGAGTCCTTACAGGCAGATCTAGAGCTGGAAGCTTTCCATAGTAGTCTCCCCATATTCTCTTTCTTTGCTCTGAGACTTTGCTGGACTTAGCTATTTGCTGAATATTTTGAGTCCCTACACTGCCATGCCTCTGAGAACCTGTGACACACCTGTGACACCCCATCAGGTCAGGGGCCCCCTTCCTCCCATGTCAGGATTTCTTCAGCCCTTCCTATACCAGCCCTTTTGCTATGCACCAGGCCTAGCATGCAGGTGTGGATCTTGCCTCCACGATGCCCCAGGAAAGGACTTTTGTCACCAGTCCCTCTACTCCCTACAAAACCATGAAGGAAAGTTAAAGGAGGCTGATTGCTGACAGATGCTGGCATCAGGAGTCTGAGGCAGTGAAGGAAGCAGGACAAGGTTGCCCTGAGCCCTGTGGCTCCGAGTTCACTCCTCACCGGTAGCTCCTGCCAGGAGGCTCTGGGTATGTCCCCAGCCTCCTCAGTTTCTTGAGTGGTGGATAAGACAGGCAAATGGCAGGGAAGGGAAAGCCCTTGACTTCCCAGAGGACACAGAGGAGCCCAGGCCCGAGGAGCTCTGTGGTGACCATGAGGGTGGGGCTGTGCTCAGAGCCCAGACAGTGAGGCGTTCAGTTTCTTCACGATCCGTGGACCCAGCTGTGGAGATCAGCATGGTCCTTTGTACCTTCTTCCCAGAGCACAAGTGGCTATGGCTCCCAGGCTCAGTATCCTGCAGCCTGGAGAAATCCACTGGGTACTTGCTGTAGGTGTGGCTGCCTTTCCATGGGACTGGGCCACCCTGCAGCAACCTCTGCTTCTTGAAAGCAGCCAGGAGATCGTAGGGAAGCAGCTCTGCCGGTTGTACAGGGAAATCCAGGAGTCACAGACCCTGGCCTTGTGGTGGTGAAGTCTCCCTTTCTGCCACATGCAGGGTTTTCCTTCCTCCCCTACACACTGCTGTGTTTTCCCAATTTTACCTCGAGTCCTTCATTGAACCAGTGGATCTCACTCACTTCTCCTGTGAGCTGTCGGAGGAAATTCATGCTTCCCACCTGCTCCCCATGCTAGGATGTTACTGCGCACTCAGGCGACTCAAGGGAGCACCCTCTCCTTCTGCTGCCCCATCACCTGGAGCTTCCGATGGAACACATCCCAGACACCCAGAATGTTTTCTTTCTTCCTGTTGTTCCTCCATCTCTTCACCTCCAGGCTTCCTACATGCCCGCCTGGCCCACCACGGCCCTGCAGAAGCAGTTGGTTGCTGGTCATTTCTTAGCTGGTCAAGTCCACTCTGACCTCCAGTAACAAGGGCAGATGACTCAACACAATGGCATTAACCTACATGGAGGGCAGGTCTGCTGGGCTGCCGCAGGTCTCCAACTGGACCTGACACTACACAGCCATTTTCAATCAACTTTTCTTTTTGAACTGGAGGCGTGTGGTAGACTAGAGAGAGGCAGACCTGCTTTTAAACCACCCATTTGCTACTTCTTTGAATAAGTAATTATGTCTTGCCAAATCTTCATTTTCTTTCTGGGAATGTGTGTAAATGCTTAGCACACAAAGTGTAGAGAAGATTAATTAAGCTGAAGCGCCCAATGTGTTGCTTTAAGAAACAACCAGATCTTTCCAGGAGTGGTGCTACACACCTGTAATCCTAGTAGTCTGGGAGGCTGAGGCAGAGAGATCTCAAGTTCAAGCCCAACCTGGGCCACTTAGGGAGACCCTGCCTCAAATTTTTTTTAAAAAAAACGGCTGGGGATGTTATTCAGTGTGAAGGCCCCGGATTCAACCCCCAGTATTAAAAAAAGAAAATGAAAATAAATATACCAGATCTTTTTTTAAAAAAAGAAGAGGCTAGCCAAGGTGGTGAAAATGGGAGAATTATTATTCACAGAATAGTTGAAGAGGTATTCAGGGGACATTTGGAGGAAGAAGTGAGCCTTGTAGCACATGAAGGGTGCTTCTAAACATTTAAAGGTTGCTTTGTGTGGGAAAGAGGGGAGCCACCAGACCAACAAGTGGAAATTATAGGGTAATGGATTCCAAGTCAATGTGTGGAAAGATTTGCCCACCACCAGAACTGTCTACAAGTGGTGACCTTGCGGCATGGGGGACACCCTGTCCCTGGCAAGGCTCCAGAGCCCTGGAAGTCCAGTGGCCTGGTGTTCCCAAAGGGATGCCTGCGTTGGGTGGGGCCTGCATGATGTCCTGAAAAGTCCTTTCCCGCTCCCAAGACTCATGATGTCAGTGCGATAATCCAGCCCCCGCACGTCACCAGGCTAAGTGACAAGAGTAGAGTCTTACTAGCCCATCCTCCTTTCTGTTGCACCGATTTTAAAATAGGATCTTTGCAACAATGGAATAGGTTGGACTTCCAGGAAAAAGCCAGAAATGGGAACAGTGAAAAGGACAAAGTTCACGCCAAACTGCCCTTCTTGGGTTACCCTGAACTCAACTGTGGCTCGGTCCCTGTGCCGAAAACTCATTCCTTTTTGAGAGAAAACTGCCACTCTTTGGTACACTGTCAGCCAAACCAGAGCCAGGCAAATATCAATCAGTCTCAGAGCTCTGTGCCTGATTTCTTCTCTGTCTTTGGAGGGATGGTAGATATGTGTTCTTAACCACTGGGAAATCTAAACTGAAAAGCGCATTGAATGGTCCAGACATCCTCTAACGTCAAAGTCTTGGGGCATGGAAGGATGTGGGGAGAGGTGGCCACTGCCTGACTGAGTCGGGTCCTCAGCCTCTGTCTTTCACCCGCCTTCCCTGCTCCACGAAAAGAACCTCGGTCACCGAGCCTCTATGCAGCTGAGGATCCAGATGTGCCCTCCCAGAAGTCAGGAGCAAGCTTGGGCAGCCCTAGCTGTCCTAGGTCCTGGGTCCTTTGTGGTCCAGGAGAGCTGGCTGCTCTTGCAGTCCAGGGGCTTTCCTTTTCTGCAGACAGTGTGCATTTTTTCAGTCTAGCTTTCTTCCTTCCACCTCACTGTGAGATGCTGGGCTAGAAGGAGATGCGAGCATCAGGATGCCACCGATTGTCAGACCCTAACATATCACAAAAACGTTTTATTCTCCAGGTTGACCTAGGCTTGCTTTCTCAAAAACAACAGTGCAATAAAAGTCCTTTTGAAATATACTCAACTGCATAGGGCAAAATCAGAGAAGCCCTTGCAGCCCACCGTGCTTATTTTTAGATGCGCCTGGACCAGCCCAGCATAGCAGAACAGCTGTCTAATGTCCGAAGTGGCCCTGGGAATTTCCTCCAACAAGGCTGAGCTTCCGGCCATTGTTGTAGTACAAAGGGCACAGGGAGGCCCCGGTGGAGACGGCTGCGGGCCCCGCCCAGATGAAATCTGGAAGCTGTCAGCCCTCCTGCAGTGGTCCTGAGGGCCTGGATCAAGGAGGGAAGTCCCTGCCACACCAGA